AGTCACCCAGTTGGCTTTCATGCCTAAGGCGGGACTAGAACGCATGGTCTCTTGGTAATTGGCCAAAATCACCCAGCTGACTTTCATGTTTAAGGTGGGACTAGAACTCACAGTCTCTTGATGATTGGCCCAAAGTCACTCAGCCAGCTTTCATGCCTAAGGCAACACTAGAACTCATGGTCTCCCAGTTTCTAGCCTGGTGCCTTAACCATTAGATCAAACTTCTACATCAGGGTCCTCAACTTTGGGGGCCTAAAATCACATTTAGAGAACATGATGTGAGAACTTACAGTATGGAGATAGTAGTCATGTAGAATAAGGGAATACCACAGACAGGAATCAGAATTCTACCAAATCTGGGTAGATTATACAGTTTAAATTATAACAGAATTACTCTCAGAAAAAAACTCTTGATATATGGCAAATATGAAAAGGATTATTATCTGTCTTTCTAGTTATTTTGTGTGGGTGAGTCAATTTTGTTTTTTTTCTTTTTTTTTCTACACATTATAGAGTCAGGTTATTCAGTTCCTTGTAAACATTTGTCAGCTACTGTTCAACAAACATGATTTTTTAAAAAGAATTGGCAGCCAAACTGATTAAATGTGAATTAGATGATGATAAGATAGGTCACTAAATGTATGTTTCAAACATTATGTTCGTAAACTTAACATAAATCCTATAGATCAATGATACAAGATTGACAGCCTTATATATATAAATATATATATATATATTTATTTCAAAGAACCGGTAGCGGAAATTTTGAGTAGTTCGGAGTACCGGCAAACACTCTGGTCCCAAAGTGGGGTGGGAAAGGAGATTTTGCAGTACCCTTTCCCTGGAGTGGGGTAGGAATGGGGATTTTGCAGTATCCTTTCCCTGGAATGGGGTGGAAATGGAGATTTTGCAGTATCTTTCCCCTGCCATGCCCACCAAGCCATGCCACGCCCACCAAGCCACGTCCACAGAACCAGTAGTAAAAAAATTTGAATTCCACCACTGAAAAATTTGAATCAAGATGATAGTTCCAATTCCATGATGAAAGTCCCACCTCTAAAAGGAAACTCATGGCTACAATCTTGACTGTTTTAACCCCCTTTCCCTGTGGACACCCCTGTCCATAATAGTGCCGAGTCTAATTTGTCACATAGCCTTCCAGATTTTTCACACTAGATTTGGCATTTTTATCCATGTGTCAAGTCTTTCCCAAAGACCTGGGATAGACATGTTGATGTTTGAGGGGTTAAAGATATCGTTGCAGGATGTACGCTGTTCTGACTAAAGCTGCTGTTTGTAATTGACCGATGGTGATATTTGTCAATGCCGATGGTATTCAAGTGGGATGTCAGCATTCTGATGCTGCCATAAAAAGATGAGGCTTGACTTTTCACCTACTTATTTTCTCTGTAGATAATATCCCCTAGGAGATGGGATTGGGGGGGAACATTCCTGTGGGGTGAGGTCAGAAGCTGGGGAGACTGACTTGGAAGATGGTCAATGAGAAGATGAGAATTGGGGAACGGAAAGGGAAGGGTTTGGGGGTCAGAGGGTTAGTATCGGCTACGACGAAGTCGGGGCCAGATCTGTCGTATTCAATAAATGGAATATTTCAGCAAAGATTAATTGTTTGGGAGTGCAATTTATTTGAGATGACATCGAAACCTGACATGGTGTTCCAGTTGTTCTGGGATTGTGCCCAAGGCACCTATTATCAATAGAGCTACTTTTACTTGCTGTTGCCACAAATCTTCTTCTTCTTGCAGGTCTTTGTATTTTGTGATTGTCCCCAGTCCTTTCTCTTCTATTCTTCTGTCTGACATGTCCACTATTCATATTTTTTGGTTTTTCTTATTGACAGTTGTTAAATCCGGTGTGTTATGTGGCTGGTGCCTGCCTGCTTGAACTCTAAAGTCTCAGCTAAAGAAAGTTTAGCTTCTTCGTTTTCTATGATTTTCTCTATACTAAGATCCCACCAGTTTTTGCTTTGCAGGCAACCCATCCTTGTTGCTACTTTGTCGTTCCATTGTTATCATTTTTATCACTATGTTCTGACTGAGGCTCCCTTAAAAAGCAGAAAGCAGAGTCTTGATCCTGGCAAAACCTCTTTGATTTACATGACTGTGAATTCCTTTCATTCAGTCAGCAAGGTCTGTCCAAACAGTTTTTCAAAGGAATATTTATCAACACAGACCTTATCTTGCTTGGAAAGCTGCCAGATAACTAGTTTCCAAACACAGTACAAGGCAAAACTTGGCACAGAGTTTCTGAGAGTCACGGAAAGAATGAATTGTTTTCTGCAAAAGCCCCCTCCTCATTCACTCCTCTTTTGTTTCCTATGGGAAGGGCCAATCACCTCCAAGGTGTGGCTTTACTCCCAACTCGACCCTGCTTTCTTAGTTGTTCTTGTCTTCTGGCAGCTCTGTGCATGCGTACACTGGGAACAGGCTCCAGCTGTTCCTCTGCCTCACTGCTGCCTAGCTCCCTCTCTGCCTCCGATGCAGAGCCCTCGTCCGAGCTTTCCCCAACTCCCAGGACTTGCCCATGTTCCTCCCCAACCTCCTCACTGTCCAACTTTTCTGTCAGCTGCGCTGGCCGCTGGCGGGCCACAACACACTATTGTTATAGTTCATCATATAATCAGACAGATTATACAGATTTGGCATTTTAATCCACCTGTCAAGTCCTTCCCAAGGATTTGGGAAAGGCAGCTGTTGAAGTTTGATGGTATGAGAGATATTGTCACAGGTTGTAAGCTGTTCCAAGTAAGCCTGCCTTTTGCAATTGACTGATGGCAGATTTGTCAATGCCGATAGTGTTCAAATGGTGCTCCAGTTTTTTGGGGCATTGCACCCAAGGTGCCTATTACTATTGGTGGTACCTTTGCTTTCTTTAGCCACAAACATTCTATTTCTATTTGCAGGTCTTTGCATTTTGGTATCTTCTCCAGTCCTTTCTCTTTTATTCTGCTGTTTTCAGGTACAACCACATCTACTATCTCGACCCTTTTGTCATTCTTATCAACAGTTGTGAAGTCTGGAATGTTATGTGGCAGGTGCCTTCTGTTTGAATTCTAAAGTCCCAGAGCACTTTAGCTTTGCCTAACAAAAATTAAAATACAAGAGACAAAAACAAAACATTTAAAACGAGCATTTAAACATAATGAACAAATAAATCCTATTCAAAAGAGCTGTGCCTTGACTGCTCCTGTAAAAGCATCGAGAATGGCAGAAGGAGATTAAAATGGGATTCCCTAAGGACTTAGTGCCACAGTATGAGAAAGATACAGGAGCAGCTGTATGCAGTCCATTTAGGAAAGTTGAAAACAATTCGCTCTAAACCTCTTAGTTCTATTCAAGTCAGCAGGTTCCCATGCACGTAGTCGTCACCTCCCTCTCTCCTCACTTGGGCACTCTAGGCAGCTAAGAAGAAAGAGACAAAATAATGAAATACTGAATTACACAAAGTAGGATTGTGAAAACAGCACTCTGGATTTGATCTTTAAACGGTACTTTGAAGTGCCCAAGAGTACAAATCTGGCATCTGCCTGCAACATTTTAAAGCAGTTGTGTTTTTCCCCCCTGGAGCACGGAGCAGTGGCGGCGGGAAGGAGGGGCTGTGGTCTTGTTAAATGATGCAGAATTATCCAGGGAGATCTATGTGGAGACCTTAGCATCAATCTCTCTGCTCAAGCCCAAGACTTTAACTCCTACACAATTCTACCCCTCTGTTCTTGGCGTGGAATATAATACTGAGGAAACCCAGGAAATCTAAATTTATTTAGGATCTTTTTTTGTAATTCCATCTTTATTATTTTTTATAAATGACCCAGGGTGGCGGACATACTAAATACGCCTTCGTCTTTCGATTTTTCTCACAACAAGAACCCCATGAGGTGGCTGGGCTGAAAAAGAATGCCTGGCCAAAGTCATACAGCTGGCTTTCATGGCTAAGAGGGAACTAGAACTCACGGTCTCCCGGTTGTTTCTAGATCAAAATGGCTCTCTCTCTCTCTCTCTTCCTAGCTGTGATGAACTGGTCATGTACAAGTAGTATGTAGATTGGTACGTATAACCAATCATTCAAAGTTGCAACTGCTCTGAAAACAGTGACTTAAAGCCATTCCTCACACATATGGCCATTGCAGCCTTCCCACCGTCACATGATCAAAAGTCAAGTGCTTGGCAATTGGCATGTATTTACAACAATTGCAGGGCCACGGGGTTATGTGATTGACATTTGTAACCTTCCCAACTGGCTTCCAACATGCCATCAATGGCGGAGCCAGATTCACCTAATTGCATGATTCCCTTAACAACCGTGACAAAATAGGTCATAAAATTGGAGTGACTCACTTAACAGCCACCTTGCTTAGCAAGGGAAATTCTGATCTCAGTTGTGGTTGTAAACTGAGGACTAGGTATATCGGATCTTTCCTGACGACTTTCAGTCCTAGTTTAAAATTCAGAGCTATTGACAAATGCTCGTTTAGAATGGTGTTTGACCTCCCTCCGGTAATGCTGTGAGTGCTTGTGGCTTGTTTCATTCGGCTCTTGTGATTTATTGTATTTATTAGAAATCTGCAGATTTTCATCCTCCAAGGAGCTGATCAAGCTTCCTGCCGCTGGTATAATGAAGACAATCCGTCGTGAAAGAAGGCCTGATTGTCTAATGACAGCTCCAAACATCAGTAAAAAATGAAGCCACGGCACAGATGTCAATAAAAGCACCACACGCTGTTGTAATGCAGAAATGTTTGTTTTATTAGAAGAACAACATTGGGTTTTTTTTCCCAGGAATTTTCCAGCTCATACAAGCCTCAACATAGCAACAGTTCTCACAAGTGATTTTTCTCTCATGCGCGGGAGAGCCAAACAACAACAACAACATCTGGGTTATGTGGTTGACTCCTTGTTTTTGTTTGCCGTTGTTTAATGAAACTCGACGAAAGCAAAATAATGACCCTTTCCTCTCCCCTCCCTTCTTTCCCAAATCAACAGAAAGGAAAGAAGAACATGACAGCAGACCTTCAAGAACCTGGTAATATTTTGCTCCCATGGCGTCATCACCCGAATTCTTACGGACTCAGGCGTCAAAAGAGAGATTGGGTCATCCCACCAATCAACGTGCCAGAAAATTCAAGAGGACCCTTCCCACAGCAGCTCGTTAGGGTAAGTAGAGTGCCAGAATACTCTGTACCTCTGTTTAAGATCAATGGAGATTACATTTCCCAAAGCTTGTTAGGTGGATTATCTTTAGAAAGAAACAGTAGACTTCCAAGTTGGACTCAAGACAAGACCTGTCCGATGGTATGAAAAGACTGTGTATGCTTTCCAAGGATGTGCCATTCAGTAGTCGCCGATGAATATTAATGCATGGATAGACCTTTGTAAAAAACAAAACAAAACTGAAAGTATGAATACTATGACAAGAGCATAGAAAGCAGTGATATACCCGTTTTTTACCTAAAATAAGACCCTGTCTTATATTTTTTGAACCCTGAAATAAGCACTTGGCCTTATTTTCAGGGAGGTCTTATTATTTTGGAGTGCATGGAGCAAGACGGGACTCCTCTTGCCGTCTTACCTGATTTCCAGATCCGTTGCATTTCTCGCCGTTGTGTGCAGGGAAACAAGTTGTAGCGTAAAAAAACATTTCTAGTGAGTTCAAGCAATTAATTCCAACTTCTCCAATACCCACCCCTTCACTAGGTCTTACTTTTGGAGGAGGGCTTATTTTTGGAAAAGGGCTTAGCACATTTTAGCATATTTTAGCACATGCGCTCAAAAGCCCAATTGGGCTTATTATCCAGGGAGGTCTTATTTTCGGGGAAACACGGTAATAGAATCATCATATTTACTTTGAAGCACAAAGATTTGCTCAGGTGTTAATGTGGAGCAATTTGCCAACAGTGAAATCAGGTTTTGCTGTGCAGAAAGAGAGATTGTGTCAACCTTACAAGGTAGTCCAGATGAGAAATACACAAGTACTAACTTTAATTTTATTATAAGGTAATATTAACAGATTTGTTCAAGTCTGAAAGTACATCTCTCCGCCCTTCACCCTTATAGAACAAGAAACTAGGGAGGGTACCTTCTGATACATTTTCCATGCCTCCATTCCTTCTGTGGACCTATTATTTAATTAATAATTATATATTTAATAAATAATTTAATTAATTATTTGAATGAAATAATAATCCGATGTCTTATATTTTTTTGAACCCCGAAATCAGCACTTGGCCTTATTTTTGGGGAGGTGTTATTATTTTGGGGCGCGTGGAGCAAGACGGGGCTCCTCTTGCCATCTTACCTGATTTCCAGCTCTGTCTCCCTAACCCTAACCAAAGGAAATGGCAGAGACTGGCTACGCATGCATTTAAATATTTTCAGGGAGGGCTTATTTTCGGGAGAGGGCTTATTATCTGGGGAGGTCTTATTTTCAGGGAAACACGGTACATGGTGAGAGGAACAAATCTTGCGAGTTTACCAGACGGATGGCATAGGGAGCAAAACTGTTACAGAATCTGATAGTTCTGCTAGAAATACTTTGAAACCTCCTCAGAGTCTCTTTGTCTCTAGCATGGTGCCTTAACTGTTACCCCAAACTGGCTCTCATTAGATTTATTATCCACCACCAGAGGTGTAAAGTAATGGAAAGAAAGAAAGAAAGAAAGAAAGAAAGAAAGAAAGAAAGAAAGAAAGAAAGAAAGAAAGAAAGAAAGAAAGAAAGAAAGAAAGAAAGAAAGAAAGCATTCATAACAATAAAAAAAATCAATCCATAAAATCTAAACCCCAAAGACTTTAGTACAGTCCTCAATGTTAGGCCTCAAAAGCATCTCCATAGATTCTCTGGAAGAGCCGTATTTTCAATAATTTCTGGAGGGCCCAAATTCTAATGACAGATATCCATCGAATGAAGAGGCAATCTCCTTTATAGCTGCGGCTGTAGAAAAACCTCCATAGTAGGAACCTCACTAAAATGAGGGACTATGAGCAGATTCTCTCAGGATGAGTAGATGGGATGGGTTGATAGTACAGGTCTCTTGTGAAAGGAGAGGGTTGGACTACATGAAAACCTCCAACTCTATTACTGTTATTGATATCGGTTGGAGAAGGAAGTGGGGAATGAGGCGATTGAACCATACGGTCTATGGGAAATATTTTCTTTTTTAATAAAAGGTAAAGGTTCCCCTCACACATATGTGCTAGTCATTCCCAAATCTAGGGGGCAGTGCTCATCTCTGTTTTAAAGCCGAAGAGCCAGCACTGTCCGAAGACATCTCCGTGGTCATGTGGCTGGCATGACTAAACACCAAAGGCGCACGGTACGCTGTTACCTTCCCACCAAAGGTGGTCCCTATTTTTCTACTTGCATTTTTTACGTGCTTTCCAATTGCTAGGTTGGCAGAAGCTGGGACAAATAACGGGAGCTCACCCCATTACGCGGCACTAGGGATTCGAACCGCTGAACTGCCGACCTTTCTATCAACAAGCTCAGTATCTTAGCCACTGAACCACAGTCTCTATTTTAATAGAGGAGGGTAAACTGGGGTGAGCCTGTGATAGATCTTCTGAAAAGAGTTCCAGGAATATGGGTCAATGAAAGGGAAAGCGTTAGGTCCTTTGAGATAGCTGGTTAATGATAATTCAACTATCATAAATATTTGCCAGTTGCCAATTGACCAAATTTTAATCACACGACCATACGGATGGTGCAATAGTCATAAGTGTGTAAAACAGTCCTACGTCTGTTGTAAGTTTGAATGGTCACTAAATGAATAGTTGTAAGAAGAGGCTATAAACCATTTTGAAGTTAAGACCTATGCGCATAAAGAGTCATAAGGTAAAGGTAAAGGTTTCCCTGGCACATACGTGCTAGTCGTTCCCGACTCTAGAGGCCGGTGCTCATCTCCGTTTCAAAGCTGAAGACCAGCATTGTCCGAAGACACCTCCGTGGTCATGTGGCCGGCATGACTCAACGCCAAAGGCGCACAGAACGCTGTTATCTTCCCACCAAAGGTGGTCCCTATTTTTCTACTTGCATTTTTTTACTTGCTTTCGAACTGCTAGATTGGCAGAAGCTGGGACAAGGAACAGGAGCTCACCCCATTACATGGCACTAGGGATTCGAACTGCTGAACTGCCGACCTTTCGATTGACAAGCTCAGCATCTTAGTTGCTGAGCTACCGCGTTCCTCTCTAGAGTCATAGATATAGCAATAGCATCTAGACTTATATACTACTTCACAGTGCTTTACAGTCTTCCCTAAGCAGTTTAGTGTCAGCATATTGACCCCAACAATCTGGGTTCTCATTTTACCGACCTCAGAAGGATGAAAGGCTGCGTCAACCTTGAGGCCCCATCAGGATCGAACTGCTGGCAGATCGGCAGAATTAGCCTGCAATGCTGCATTCTAACCACTGTGCCACCGAGCCTCGGCATGGCATACATTGGGCACCAAAACTCTTGGTTCATTTCTCATGTCCTCCTTTTAAGCCTCATATGCTGCTCAACTAACAATGATCACATCTGGCAGAAATCCGATTGTTTAGTTTCTTCAGCTGGACGGGAACAAACTGATTGCCAGTTCATAACCCATTTGTCTTCCCCCTCACCAGCATATTCATCCGTGGACTCCTGATGGACTGCTTCTATCATTAGATGCACATGCGAGTGAAACATTTTGTCACTGGTCAAAATGCCCTTCGTCAAGTTAATGAGTTTGTAAATCATACCACATCTTCAACAACACTCATCACCCCCTTGGAAATGACACATTATTCAGAGCGAGCATTTCACGCCAGCCCAAACATTTATAAAATAAAGGCATATAGAAAAGTTTAAACCGTAAGGTGGGGGGAGGGTAGAAAAATGGATGTATCAGATGCCAGGCACTGTAGTAAAACGTATAGCAAAACACACCACACATCCATGAAGCTTTTCTGTTGTTAGAAGAAATATCCTTCTGGGTTCAGCTCCAAGTGGGGAAAAAGACACTGGAAACATGGAGACTGCTTAGAAAGATGGTTTAATGGTGGACAGGATCACATGGTTTGAGTTCCCGAACAGAAAAAGGGCCATGATGCAATGAGTCTCTGGGTTTTATGCCCTCTCTGGCTTTGAACTTCCTGGGGCCCAGAAAGAGTATCCTGATTGGTTGTCAGACTCCCAGGGGGTGGGGGTCTTAGCTAGCCTTGCTGGCTGATGTAATCTTCCCAGGTGCCATGTGGTGAGTTTCTGTTGCTAGATGGGTCCTATTGTGTTGCAGATGATGGTCCATGGACTAAGATTGAGTTTCTGCCTCTGGTCCATTGACAAAGGGGGGGGGGCAAAAAGATGGGAGCTGCTTCGTCTTTTAAAACATGCTTCTCCATTTCTCATCCAGGGAAACATAATATTCTACCTTTGTAATATTTCCTAAAATATTTCATTCTTCTAGGAAAGGGGTGGGTGCTAACTTCCTACACTGTTTTAAAAGCAAATACTGGATTTTTTTTAAAAAAAATGATAAAGAGGAGTGCACATTTTTGTCAAGCTGTCCTCTGGAATAAAATTGCGGCATAATTGCAAAAAATTTCAGGAAATAATTGGAGAAAATGAGCACGGATCATTTGCAAGCCTTGTCAAGAAATAAACGCTTAGCGAGTCCTTTCCAGGGTTAAAATGAATGCAGTCATTACCTGCTCTGCACTGATTAGCCGTTGCCTCGCAAAGTGCCTGGCGCTCAGAAACAAAACACACACACACACAAATATGGTTGGTTTAATCCCCCAAGGTGCGAGCAGACTCGATCACATAAATTACATCTCAACATTCCCATCCTCAATCTGCCGTAGGTTCAGGAAGGGTGCTTAAAACACAGTGCAGATGTTCCAGCCCCTTGAAGCCAGCTTTTACAATTTTCCTTTTTTTTTTTCTCCCAGAGAGCAAGAAAGAACTTAACCGTCTCTAGGAGCCCCAGGTGGCATAGCTAATGGTGATGGATGCCAGTAGTTCAGCAACATCTAAACAGCTATAGGTTTCCTACTGGTTTAATATATCTTCGGTCTGTGGCAAGTGATGGAGTAAGTAGAAGTTACCCCAGCTGTCGATAATGCAAGGGAAAAGAACTGCCATTGCACCCGGTTCAGAGCAAAAAGTACCCTGTGCGTTTGAATGATCTTTTTCC